CTGCAGACACCATCCAGGTCCTGCAGACACCATCCAGGTCCTACAGACACCATCCTGGTCCTACAGACACCATCCAGGTCCCAGAGACCATCCAGGTCCCAGAGACACCATCCAGGTCCTGCAGACACCATCCAGGTCCTGCAGACACCATCCAGGTCCTACAGACACCATCCTGGTCCTACAGACACCATCCAGGTCCCAGAGACCATCCAGGTCCCAGAGACACCATCCAGGTCCTGCAGACACCATCCAGGTCCTGCAGACACCATCCAGGTCCCAGAGACAGATTGTCCGGACCCTGGCAGCATGTCCTGCTCTTGTCCACTAGAACCAGAACCTGAACCAGAACCTGAACCTGGACCAGGACGCGCGCAGCGCACCTGATGAAACTGAAAGTGCTGCAGATCAGCTGCGCACTTTCAGCCGCACAGACCCAGAACCAGACCCAGAACCAGAACCAGACCCAGAACCAGATGAGTGATTTGAGTCAAACACTTCGTCCCACACAGTCCTCACCTGTCCTCACCTGTCCTCGCACCCTGGAGCTCCTCGCAGGTAAACAGGTCCTCGTGTCCCGCGCGCTCCCGGGACGTCAGGTCTGTTCGGGTCCGGCTCGGGTAGAGGTGGTCTGGAGTCCTCAGAGGGGTCCCACAGTGGTGTCAGGGGTCAAAGTTCATTCTGGCTCTGAGTCTGAAGTGTTCCCTGAAGGTCCTGCAGCTCCGACTGATCCGCATCAGGTCCCGGACTGAACTCCAGACTCATTTCACAATAAAAGCCTGCCCACAGCTCCCCCTCCCACCTCTGAGCCTGCCTACGTCCGGTTCTTACCACAATAAAAGCTCCAAAAAACACATCTGTGTCAGGATTCCTACAGAGGCCGGTTCGGTTCGGCTCGGTTCGGTTCTGAGTGAAAACTTTCATATTTGACTAAAAGTCATTAAGTTTAACTTTTTTACAATAAATAAACAGATTTTCTGCTGATATTTAGTCTTTACAAAAGCAGATTTATTTTGAAAGTCAAACTTTAACCGGAACTGATGACGTTTAATCCCAAGTGTCTTGACATAAAACCCGCGCGTGCTGACTCACCTGCTTCCACAGGTAAGAGCCTGAATCCTTCTGCGCATGCGCTCTCAGCCGCCGTGGTGAGCGCGTGAGGGTCCACGCACGGGTTCCTAGAACTGAGTCCGAGTCCATCAACGAGTGGACCGGTCCGGTACCAAGTTGTCTGTGCATCATACGAGACAGACCAGAACCAGAACCAGAACCAGGGACCGAACCTCCCCCACAACCACACGGTTCTGCTGAGCTCAGAGGGGAAAACCCAGCAGAGACCAGGGTAAACCCAGGAGCATTCCTCCAGAACCGACCCCGTCTCCTCAGTCCGGATCACATGTCAGGTCAGGAAGAGGAACCGGGTCAGTCCAGAACCGAACCTGAGGAGCAAAAACACAAAACACCTGACCTGCAGAGAAAACAGAACCTTTTGATCCAAATATTTACAGAATATTCTGAGAATTACTGACTGCTGCATGTGTACATGTACACACATTTACACACACGTGTACATGTACACACATTTACACACACATGTACATGTACACACATTTACACACACGTGTACATGTACACACATTTACAC